TCCGTGGCCAGAGCCCACAAAACTGATGCTGGCCTCCCGCAGGCCCGCTGCGCCCCTCCCCAGGCGCCCGGGCCCCGCAGGGTCCGGCGAGACGCCCCCTTCCTGGAGCAGCGGGCGGAGCTCGGGGCACCGAGGAGGCGACCGCGAAGGATGCTGCCGCCGCCGCCCTCGCCCTAGAGCCCGGGCTGCCGTAGTGCGCGAGGCCTCCCTCCCTAGGGGAAGGGGCTGGCGAGGGCCTGGACGCCTGGCACCCCCGCCTCTCGGGGTCGAGCGAGGCGCGGCCACCGCCCTCCGAAGAGCCGGGCTCCGGCGCGGAGCGTGGGACATCGGGAGCCGCCTTGGCCTGTCTGATGCCCCAGGCCTCGAGGCGGCTGCTTTAGGCGTCAAGTTGAGCAGGGTATGTGTGCCCTCTTGGGGAAAGGGTACGAAATGGTGCTGACTTTCCCTCCTCGGCCGGGACAAGCTGGGACCCACGCACACACATCCAAACACATGCCCAGGTGAGGTCCCTCCCACCTGCTCTCCCTGGGGCGCAGAGACCCTGTCCGGATGGAAGCGGGGAACCCTTAGTCCCCGGCACAAACGGAGGACCTGGCGCAAGTAGGTGGAGCGGGCTCCGCAGCCTCAGCCCTGGCGTCGTGGACCCGAAAAGCGGAACCCCACGCGGCCAGCATCACCCACCCGAACCTGGCGACGGGCGCGACCAGGCGAGCTCCGCGGGGCCGCGCTGCGGGGAGAGGCCGCCCTGGGGCGCGAACGCAGCCCGCCCCGGGTATCCAGCAATGCGGGGCCTCGGGGTTGAAGTCCTAAAGTTACTAATCTGGCTCAGGGGTAGAGAGCGTGCCTCAGACCGCCCGGGGCGGTCATTTGAGCGTGTTTACTTAAGGACTTTGCAAGCCGAGCGCGCGCGAAATAGTCGGATTTCCAGCGAAGCAGCAAATATTTGCAAGCGGCAGAAAGAAGCGGAGCCGGACCGCGCCGCCGCGTCCCTCCCCCCGGAGCCGCGGCGCCGGCCTGGGCGGACCCAGCCGCGCTCTTAAGGACTGAAATGAAGCCGGGAACCTGCGGGGCTGGGGGGCGGGGAGGGCTCAGATCCGCTCCAAAGGGCAGCCGGGAGAGCAAGGCCCGCGGCCCCGGCGAGCCTGGGCTGGGGGAGAAGTCCCTTCCCACTCCAGCTCGATCAATCTTCCCTGGCTGCGATCGGTCAATAAAAATGGTGTGAAGCGGTCGTGGTAGCAGGGCGTCTGGGGAGGAAGTGGAGGCCAGAGGTGTCGAGGCCGGCGCCGGCGCCCCTCGCCAGCCGGGCGCGCGCCCCCGCGGTCTGCAAGCCTGCGGCCGGGCCCAGATCCACGCGCGCGACCGCGCGCAGCCGGCCTAGGCCTTTCATTGGGTGTCTCCATTTTAAGTGTCCATTGTTAGAGCAATTAGCGAGAGACAATAAGCACCAAGCAGCGTTTAATTCGATACAGCGCGCCTGCTGCAGCCTCGCCGGGCGCTTAGCAAGCCTGGCCCCGGCTTCCCGGGAGGACTGCGGAGGCGCCCGTTCCTCTCCTCGCGCGTTTGTCTTAGGTGTGGGAGTTAAAAGGGACGAGAGCAACGCGAGCCAGGCCACGGCGGGAGACCGGTCTCGGCCTCGAAAACCTCCGCCGGGCGCCCCAGACATCGTGGTGCCTTCTGGCAGCGCGCGCCCTAGTTCCCGGGACCTGTTAGAGAAAAACCGGGAGGACCGCGACCTGGAAACCGGTTTCCTTGCTCCTCTCTCCCCTCCTCGGCCACCCGAACCGAGTCCGAATTTCCTTCCCGACAGGGAAGGAGGGGCAAATGGAGACCCTGGTTTGGAGCACGTACGCACCTCCCTCTCCTCCGGGGTCCCGCTACCCCTCCTCGCCGAGGCCCCGGGATTAAGTTACCGTGGCCGGGCCAGGGTTTTTACTGGTTAGGAGAAGAGCACAGGTAAAGCTGTATAAACAGCTCCCCGGCTGCCGGGCGGGAGGGTTACGCCGGGGACACGGCCCAAGGCGCCGCCGGCAGCCAGGCTGCGCGGACGGAACCGCCGGGGAGCCCTCTCCGGCACGGCGCCCCAGCCCGCACAGGCTAAGCCGTGTTATGTATCCCTGCAGCTCCCCTCGCGCGCTCC